CTTATGTATGTTGATTTCAAGTCTTCAGGCACATGACCAAAATAATATAACTGTATCAGATGATAGCTCTGTTTTCAGTTTTATGTCAAACCTACAAATGACTCCTGTAGTTGATGCACCCACCAGTTTGCACTCCCACCAGAAGGGGAATGAGGGTCTCTCTTTCTCCAACATTTATTTCATGACGATAACCATTCTGGCTTGAATGAGGTGAAATCCCAGAGTACTTCTAACTTGCATTTCCTGATGGGTAATGGTGTGAACTATTAAATAATATTAATTAATATTTATTGAATATTTGTAGTTCTTTCACTGATTGTCTATTTGATTCATCAGCCCATTTAGAGATGGGGAGGTTAGGGGGTGTTTAATTTTCACAGTTCTTTGTATGTTCAGGATAATAGTTACCTACTTCGTGTATTCTTGACAAAGATTCCCCACTGCTGTAGGCTCTCTTTGCTTTGATTGCTTCCTTTTCTCTGCAGAAGATGCTCAATCTTGCACAATGTCATTTTTCAATTCTTAGGATGGCCTTCTGTTCTACTGGCATCCTCTTCAGAAAATTCTTGCCTACACCTCTATTTTTTGAAGTGTTACCTGTTTCCCCAGCAGTTTTAAATTTTCATTAAGGCTTCCATCCATTTAGATGGATGGGATTTGTGCAGGGAGAATCCAATTCTACATGAGCCAAGTTATCTAATACCATTTGCTAAGGAGGCTAATCTCTCCACTGGGTGTATTCTTGACAGTTCTCTCAAAATTTAGGTAGCCTAGATGTAAAGTTTATTTCTTGGTCCATATGCCTGTTTTTGATGCTAGTACCACATTGACTTTGTCACTATAGCTCTGTTGTACAATTTGACAAGCAATATGAAACCTACAGCATCTGGTTAGGATAGCTTAGGCCACTCAGTGGTGTGTGTGTGTGTGTGTGTGTGTGTGTGTGTGTGTGTGTGTGTTTTCACATGAACTTTTCTGCCATAAAGAATGTCATTGGAATTTTAACGTAGATTATAATGAATCTGTACATTCTTTTTTTGTAATATAACCATTTTTGCAATAATATTCTACCAATCCATGAGCATGGGAGGTCTTTTCATCCCTAGCGTATTTTTCAACCAATTTTCCAGTTTTAACTGTAAAAGTGTTTGACCTTGTTTATTTCTAGGCATTTTAAAAGATTTGTTTTATTTTTATTTATGTGCATATGTATGAGAGGGGGGTAGGGATGGAGGGAGAGAGGTTATGTGTGTGTATTCTCAATATGGGTACTGGGAACTGAACTCAGGTACTCTGAAAGACCAGCAAGTTATCTTAACCACTGAACCATCTCTCTGGCCCTATCTTAGGTATTTTATAAACTATTTCAAGTTGCAATGTTTTCCAAGATTTCCCTCTCAGTGAGTTCATTATTGGTATATAGAAAAGCTACTGACTAGTTCTTGGTAGATAGCTCAGTCAGTAAAGTGCTTGTTTCACTAGTATGAGGACCTGAGTTCAATCTGCAGCACTCACAAATGGGGTGGGGCAGGGGTAGATGTGGTGGCATGTGCTTGCAATCCCAGCACTGAGGAGGTGGAGACTGGAGAATTCTGAGTGTTCACTGGCCAGCCATGCTGGCCAATCAGTGAACTCCAAGCTCAATAAGCGATTCCATCTCAAAAAAATAAGTTGGAAAAGGACTGAGGAAAACTCCTGACCTTCACTTTGGCTTCACCATGTGCATTTGTGCACACACACACACACACACACACACACACACACACCACATGCACACACACACACACACACACCACATGCACACACACACACACACACACACACCACATGCACACACACACAAACACACACCACATGCACACAGAGAATAAGGTCTTTTATTTTAAAGGATGAAATGTGGAACAGCTTCTTCCTATGTTTCAAAAACTGAAGAGTGTGGTGCTGAAGAGATGACTCAGTGCTTTACATCACTGTCTGCCTTGCAGAGGACCCAGGTTCAGTTCCCAGCACCTACATGTTGGCTCACAACCACCTGTAACTCCAGTTCCAGGGACTCTGATGCCCTCTCCCATGGACATCAGACATCCGTGCAGTACACAAACATCCACGAATGTCAACACTCAATCATAAAAGAAAACTAAAACTTTAAATGAAAGTGTAGATGGCCACGTCCATGCATGGAATGAAGGAAAAGGTTTGATGAAGTATAGAGTCTTGCTCTCCTCTGGTTTATGATGTCACTGACTTTGCGTTGGACAAGTGTTGTCTTCCACAGAGTGCTTCATGTCCCACGAGAGCTGCCTTCACTTGATAACTTCTCTTCTTTGCAGAATGGTGGCGTCTGTAGGCCACACTTAGCTTTCCACGGTCTGGGCAGGCTCTCTGAACCTTCAGATTCTATCCCCTGGTGTTCCATCTGGGGCTGGGGAGTGACAGTATCTGCCCCATGTGTTGGAACTGTGAGAAGCACCATGGCACTGCAAACTGTACAGAGGATCTGTGTATTAATCACCCTGAGGAAAGGAGGCACCTACAGACGACTATGTGAATGGAAGCACAGTGACCACAGAGGCCATAAAAGGCTGTCAGGTCCCCTGCAACTAGAGTCGCCAGCAGTTGTGAGCCCTCCAACTTTGGTCCTCTGCAATAGTAGCAAGTGCTCTTAACCACTGAACCATCAGCCCTGGAGTTAGTACTTATTAATGCATCACCCAATGTTTTTTGTGTACTTTTCACATATCCTAATACTATGATTCTCCAAAGAAACAGAACCGATAAAATGTGTTCTTGTACCTGTGTGAGATTTAGAAGGCCCGGAGGTCTCTGTGCTCAGAGATAAGCACATGGCATGGTGGGATGGGGCGTGGAAAGCATGGACCAGGAATGTGAAGAACACAAGGTTGTTGTTTTGAGGGAAGGCTGGGAGCAGACATACGTGACCTTTGCACTAGCTATGTGGCTGGAGGCAACACTGAACCCTCCCCGAAACCTTAATTTTTTTCTCAGTCAATCTATAGAACCAATCTTTATGGAAGGCATCACATGTACTTTACAAAGAGTTTCAATGCAGTTACAGCCAATATTTATTTAGCTTACTTCGTGCTTTACTGTGCACGTGGAATTGAGTTAACTATCACCAGGAAAGTGTTGAACCAAACTGGCACCTCCAGGGGCCAGCAAAGGGATGATCTGCAGGAGGCAAGAAGGTTCAGTTCAGCATGGCTCGGTAGCTGGTATTGGTTCAAAATTTTGAGACTTTGACCCCGAGTGGTTTGTTTTACACATATTTAAGCACAGCACAATTTAGTGATAGTCGTGGATCTAACCCTCTAGAACTGAGAGCCTTAGATAAATCACTTTATTTTATTAAACTGCCTTGGTCATGGCAGTTTAGCACAGCAATAGAAAAGTAACTAAAACAATGGGTCACCAACATTTATTGAATATTGGTCAGCTTTAAACTTTTAGCTTTTTTTTAAACTTACAAATGTCTTCCTTTTTCCTTTGCTTTGGAGAGTTATTTCTACCAATTGTAGGAGTTTAGATTAACAGGATTTTTTCCCTTTTTATACCTCAAAGATTTTGCTCATTTACATTATTTCCAATAAGAAAGGTAATCTCACAAGTGGTCAGATCTAAATGTAAAAGTTAAAAGCGTAAAACTCTTAAAACACACACACACAGACAGGTGTAAATTCACAGCTTTGGATCAAACAATGGCCTCTTAAATATTGCGCCAAAATCACAAACAAAAGGAAAAACTGAGCAATTAGACTTCATCAAAGAATACTGCCAACTCCCTGCTGAGTAGCTTTCCTAGTCATGTATGAATCCTGTGAGTTACAACAGTCAGCCTCACAAGACATACACCCATGGGTGCAGCAGCTCTATAGATGTCACAGGAGCAACAAGCTGCTTTCTGATTGGATAGAGGATCACTCCAAAGGCGGAAACTCATGCCTGGTACTAAAATCAAGCCACGAAGCCACGCTGCAGAACTCATAGGCCCTAAAGAAAAGCCTATTACTATTAATTTTCTAAACTGAGATAGTATCAAACTGTCTTCTAAATAATTCTCTATACCTATTAATTAGGTCAGCTCTTGATCCCCACCACAGAAGTATCTTTTTGCAGTGGACAGCACCTGATATACAGACTCACAATTTTTCTAAATGCAGAGAACAAGTGTCTGTTCTCTGCCCCAAAATCTCAGGTAACGCCAGAGCTCTGGGAAGTCTGCTATGAAACAATGTCTTCTTTTTTTTTTAATTGTCCCAAGATCTTTTAATAGAATAGCTGTATGCTTTTTACAATGAGTTAATTGTGAAATAACCTAGTAACCTCATGCACAGCTAAATACACAGCTAAATAATTAGTAAAACTTAATCACACTACCATGTTCATCACACTGAAAATGTATCACTGTTTATTTTGATTGGAAACAATGTCTTCTTAACACAGCAGGATGTTGCACTTATGAGCTCACAGAAGCAGTGGTTGTCTGCACAGCTCACAGCACTCATCATTACAGCACAGATGAATGACAGACTATCCACAGCTGAGGAACTGGTAGCAGCTGATAGATGCTGGTAGAGGAAGAGTCCATGTTCTTCAGGGATGTGGCATCCAGCAGGTTGACCATGTTCTGGTAGATGGCTTCACACCTACACAGATTTGAGTAGCACTAAATTTGTACTCAGTGGGTTACAGAGAAAGAAAAGGACATGAAATCAGGATGGGAGCCCAGCGGGATCCAGGAGGAGTTAGATATGGATATGAGGGTAGACATGAATAAAATACACTGTATACATTGTGAAAGTATCAACGAATAAATAATTTTAAAAGAATACTACTCACAAAAGAAAAGAAAAGAAAGGACAACCCATGGAATGGAAGAGAATATTTTGAAATGACTCACCATGACATAATCATGATATATAAAGCGTTCTTACAATGAAAAACAAGAACAACAAAAAAATAACCTGATTTTAATTGGCAAGTGACTTGGTCTTTTCTACAAAGATAAACAAGTGGCCAATAGGCATGTTGTGTGATTCCATCTATAATACCCCGACTAGGATACTCCATTAGAACAGAAAGCAGGCTGGTGGTTGCTTATGTCTAGTGGAAAGACAGGAGAGAGGAGTTAGAAGTAATAACTAATTGATGTGGAAGTTTTTTGTTTCATTTTCTGAGGGTGTGTGTGTGTGTGTGTGTGTGTGTGTGTGTGTGTGTGTGTATCCATGGCATGTATATATATATGTGGAGGTCAAAAGACATCCTGTGGGAATTGGTTTTCTCCCTTCTCCATGTGGGTTCTGGAGATTGATCTCAGATCACGAGGCTTGGTGGCAAATGCCTTTACCCACTGTGCCATCTCACCAGTCACCTCACTGGAGGTACAGAGGAAGATCCAGTCACAGACAGTACTCTGCAGGCAAGCCAGGTAACTTCATAGCTCTGGAAAGCAGAAACCAAGCAGAAGGTGAGGACTTCATCAGATGAAAGGGCAGGCAGTACATGCACTAACTTACTCATCATGGTCTACTAGCAAGAGTCATGAAACTGATGGGGATAAGTGTTGGGAGATGATTGTGAGGTAGTAATCAAAAGACATCCGAGTCAGACAAGTGTGCTGGCTTATACTTAATCCTAGCATTTGTAGATCAAAGCCAGCCTGATCTACATAACAAGTTCCAGGCCAGCCAGGGCAACCCATTTCATTACATATATGAATGCCGTGTCCACCATGAGGGACTGTACCCCCAAACTGTGAGCCAAAGTAAACACTTCCTCCCTTTAAAAAAACACATCTGGGGGCTGAAGAGATATCTCAGTGGTTAAAAATGCATATTATTCTTGCAAATAACCCGTTTGCTTCCCAACACCCACATTGGGAGCCACACAACTGCCTTTAACTCCAGCTTCAAGGGATCTATCGCCCTCTTCCGGCCCCACAAGTACCTGCACTTACATGTACAAACTCTCTCTCTCTCTCTCTCTCTCTCTCTCTCTCTCTCTCTCTCTCTCTCTCTCTCTCTCTCTCTCATAAGAATAAGTCTTTTTTTAGAATGCATTTGCTGTGAAACTAGTTGTCTGCTTTGTAACATGGGGAGCTGTACACCCCAAAAGATGAGGGACCTACCCTGAGTGGAGGTCGCCAACACAGAGACATCAGAGGCAGGGACAGATGACTGTCAGTAGGGTCCTCACCTGCTTCTCAAAATGGCTCTTTTGTCTCCACCACCGACAAGTCATCAGCTGGGTCCTTGCGCCTTATGGAGCTCTTTGACGTTGGTAAGTTCTTTAAAAAAGGAAGCTTGCACTTGTACATGCTCCAAAACCTTTTTAAGCCCAAAAGCACAAGCTCCAAGGAAGTAAACATGAGACAGGCCCCACTGATCCCAAACATAGTATTGAGTAGGACTGTCTTCTCAGAGGGGTGCGACTGGAAACAGGTCGTGCTGCCGATGCACGGATCTTCACGACATACAAAAGTGCTAGGCATCTTGAAGCCGTACAGGTGGTACTGAACTCCCAGGGCTGCTCCCTCAAGGACTAGCCGCGCCCCAAGCTGTGCCACATAGGCCCAGAGAAGCTTGAGGTTTCCAGTCCCTAAGACATCCTTGTTGCAGTCCCCCTCGCGCATCTGGAATTCTTGCTCCTTGTTCTCCTTTCCTGGTTCCTCCCAGTGTCCAATCACATGATACAGAGTGAACCCCACATAAATGGCACTGGGTACAGCCATCAGAATGACTTGGAAGGCCCAGAAGCGCAGTGGAGAAAGGGGGCGGAAGACATCATAACACACGGTCTTGCAGCCTGGCTGTCCTAAATGACACATGAATTCCTTCTCATCATCACCGAAGACCCCAGGTCCACTGGAAACCAGAAGCAGGAGGCGGAATCCCATGAACACCGGAAGCAGGAAGCGCCCCACGGGGGTGGAGTGCTGGCTCTCCTTAGCTAACAGCTGCCTCAGGAACTTGCCACACATTCTGCCCCTGAGCAGAGGACAATTTATCAGTGAAGGTGTCCCACTCACTGCCCTTTAGAGGAGGCTTGAGCCTGTCTTGCTCGCCTGCTAACCCAAGAATCTGCAAGGCAAGCCTTTTTGCTTCTCTCCCAAGTTGATCAATCACCATATAGGCTGCTTTGCATGCCTCCAAGGCAACACCTGAGACAATTACCTTTATAAACATAACTAGCTCACAGTTGGGAAGGTTTCAACTCCAAATAGCATACACATACTGAAGATCACTCATTGAAAGAATGTGTCAAAGTCCTGAATAGCAATGAGGAGGAGAGCATGTTGAGCAAAAAAAAAAAAAAATTCAACCCAAGGTGAGGGAAAGATGGATAGAATCCCATGATCCCTTTCAAGAGTACATTTTCATGGATTGATGGAGGGATGGGGTTGGCTCAGTCATTAAAGTGCCACACAAGCATGAAAACCTAAGCTCAGTCATCAGAACCCATGTAAAAATGCTGAGTGTGCTGGGTTGTGAGCCTAGCCTTTAATGGCTGAGCCATCTTAGATGAGAGAAGAGAGAGAGAAAGAGAGAGAGAGAGGGTGTGAGAGAGAAAGAGCATAAAAGAGGGAGCCATTATAGGTTTCAAGAGAAAACTGAACCTAAAGAAATGTCCAGAGACCTACAAGACTGACCCCAACTAACAATTTGAGCAACAGTGGAAAGACTACCATAAATGCCCTTCCCTGATAATGAGATTGATGACTAACTTATCCACCATCATGGAGCCCTCATCTAGTAGCTGATGGAAACAGAAGCAAACACCCACAACTAAACACTGAGTCAAACTGGAATCCAGATGCAGAGAGGGAGGACAAGACCATGCTGCAGAAACACATAGAGACAGCTGACATGAACAAGGAGGAGCTAATGGACCCCAGACTGCTGGGAATCCAGCATCCAGGTGTGTGTGCATGCCTTTCCATGAAGACCAGAAGAAGGCATCAGATTCCTTAGATCTGGAGTTATAAGTGGTTGTGAGTCACCAGACATGGACATTGGGAACTAAACCCAGGTCCCCTAGAAAAGCAACAAGCACTCTTAACCCCAACACCATCTCTCTAGCTCCAGACAACAGCTCTTCCAGGTCCACAGCACCTTCTAATAAGTCTTCTTATATGTGTGGACTTTTGTGTGGACACTCATCTAAGCCATAGTTAATTCCAAGACCTTATTTACAAGGAAAAGAAATGTAAGTAGAGCACTAGAGAGATAACTCAGTGGTTAGGAGCACTGGTGGCTCCTCCAGAGAACCCAAGTTCAATTCCCAGCACCCATATGGCAACTCACAACTATCTATAACCCCAGTCCCAGGGGCATCAGAGCTCACAACTGTCTATAACTCCAATGAGTACACCCTCAAAGACAAACATACAAAATAAATAATAAGAAATGTAAGTGAACAATACGAGTTTATGTAGGTGTCCTAGTTTTATTTCTATCTTTAAAAAAAACTTAGAAAGAGAGGAAGAGGGGATTTACTCTAGCTCACAATGCAGGGTACAGTTCTTCATAGCAGGGAAATAAAAGTCTCTCTCTCTCTCTCTCTCTCACACACACACACACACACACACATTCACAGGCTAACCTGATCAAAACAATCCCTCACTGAGACTCCCTTCCTAGTTTGTGTCAAGTTGACAACTAAACATCACCACAGTGGACTGGAAAGATAGCTCAATGATTAAGAGTACTGTTGCAATCCAAAACGGCTGAAAGACACTTAAGAAAGTGCTCAACATCCTTAGCCATCAGAGAAATGCAAATCAAGGCAACTCTAAGATACCACCTTACTCCTGTCAGAATGACTAAAATCAAAAAACGCCAATGACAGTTTATGCTGGAGAGGATTTGGAGAGAGGGGAACACTCCTCCACTGCTGGTGGGAGTGCAAACTTGTACAGCCATTTTGGAGATCAGTATGGTGGTTCCTCAGAAAAATGGGAATCAGTCTACCACAAGACCCAGCAATTCCACTCTTAGGCATATACACAAAAGATGCACATTCATACAACAAAGACATCTGTTCAACTATGTTCATAGCAGCATTATTTGTAATAGCTAGAACCTGGAAACAGCCTAGATGCCCCCACAACTGAAGAATGGATAAAGAAAATGTGATACATTTACACAATGGAATACTACTGGGGGGGGACAATTGAATCTTGAAATTTGAAGGTAAATGAATGGAATTCGAAAAAAAACATCCTGAGTGATGTAACCTAGTCACAAAAAGATGAACATGAGCCTTCATCTAGTGGCTGATGGAAACAGAAGCAGACACCCTCAGCTCAACACTGAGCTGAACTCCTGGAATCCAGTTGCAGAGAAGGAGGAGTGATGAACAAAGGGGTCAAGACCAGGCTGCAGAAACCCATAGAGACAGCTGACCTGAACAAGGGGGAGCTCATGGACCCCAGACTGACAGCTGAGAAACCAGCATAGGACCTACCCAGACCTCTTGAATGTGGGTTTCAGTTAGAAGGCCTGGGCAGTCTAAGAGACCTCTGACAGTAGAACCAGGATGTATCCCTGGTGCACAAAGGGAATTCAGGAACATATTCCCCATGGAGGGATGCTCCCTTAGCCTAGACACAGGAGGGAGGGCCTAGGCCCTACCCCAAACGACTTGACAGATTTTGATGATCCCTCCTGGAAAGACTCACCCTCCCTGGGGAGTGGGTGGGGAATGGGATGGGAGGGGATGGGAGGATGGGAGGGAGAGGGAACTGAGATTGATATGTAAAATAAGAAAAAATAATAATGAAGGAAGGAAGAAAGAAAGAAACAAAGGGGGGTAGGAGGGAGGGGAAAGAAAGAAGGAGGGGCGGGCAGGTGCCTGATGCGGCATGAAGGCAGAGGTAGACTACCCCTGGTGATAGTCCTCAGCTTCTGCCTTGTGTCACTTTTTTGTCACTGTGAATGTCAGGCTACCTAGCCTATGAGTTCCAGGGATTCTCCAGTCTCCGCCTACCCACTCACCACAATACTGCTGGGCTTACAGATAGGTGCTACCACACCCCAGCTTTTTTGTGAGTTGGGGATTCTAACTCAGGTCCTTATGCTTTCCTAGCAAGCCCTTAACTCAGGAAGCCATCTTCCCAGACCAAGAACCTGAAATGTTTTGAGTGACAAATCAATAGCGCAAATAGGAAATTCTCTCCTGACTCCCTGTGGCCCTCTGCGATCAACAGCTAGTTCATTGAGACAGTCTGAAAGCCGATGGACCAGAAAATCGTCCTATTAAATGAAGCAACCGAGGCCCAGAAAGACATACACTGTATGTTTCCTCTCGTAGGCAGATCCCAGATTGTAATTTTTACATATGTGCAGATATAGATCATGAACCTAGAAAGGGGGCTATGCCTAGAAACCGGGAACAGAACTCTCTTAGGAGAGTGAGGAAGGAAAGGGGAACAGAATAGGTCTAACAAATGAAAGCAAAATGGGGGCTGGTGAGGGGACAAAGGGACTAACCTGGCAGAGAGGAAAAGGGAGGAGTAGGGAAGAAACAGCAGTAACTCAAAGTAAGCATGCAAACGACATAAGGAAGCACATTGTTTTGTATGTTAACTTTGCAAACACAGATAGGACTGAGGATGTAGCTCAATGGGTAGAACATTTGCCACAAATGCAAAAGTCCCTGGGTTTTGTCCACAGCGCAGCATAAACCAGGTGTGGTGATGCCCATCTGTAATTCTAGCACTGGGGAGATGGAGGCAGGAAGATCAGAAGTTCAAGGTCACTCTCAGTTATATAATGAGTTTAGGGTTAGTCTGGGCTATATGAGCCTGTGCCTCAATAAATAAACAAAAATAAGTAAATAAGTACAGTGTAAGTGAAGCAACAATCACAGACTCAAAATGAGAAAGGAAAGAAAATCTCAGGTTTTGAGCTGCTTTTCAAGTACCTAAAGAGATTATTTTGAAAATCCTACTTTAAATGAGAATTTTTAAAAGCATCTCACCTACTTTTTTGGGGGGAGGGAGGGGGAAGCAGTGTCAGGATTCCACCAGTGACTGAATCCATCCCAGAAAGTTAAGGAGCAACAGAGGAAAAGAATCTGTGGGGACAGAGGAACCTGATAGTATAAGCTTTAACTCATTGCTCGCCCCTTACTCTATCTGGAATGCAATCTCAAAACCAGCATGAGCAGAAATGCAAAATCTTGGGCAATATCCCTGACTCGGAATTCAAAGCTATCTCTAAGAAACCATGAATGCATCCATCCACTCACAGACACCTCTCCAGAGCCCAGAATAATCTCAAACGCAGCAGCTATTCTGCGCATGAACTTACCAGTGCTTGCCTGGCTGCTCCAAGCAGAAGCATCAACCAGGCGGGAAAAGAAGCCAAAAAGAATCCTCACACTGGAGCCTTCAGGGTCCAGGCTCTTGGGATGGCCCAGCCTCCTGCAGCTACCCACTCTTTCGCCTTCTCCTTTTCATTCCTGGCAGGCTCCCTGTGGCATAATAGAATTCCTATTGAAGAACCCAGCCCTCAAGGCGTGAGTTCTGGAGAATGACTCTGTGTTAATGGTACGGGATGTATTCTCTAAGTGAATGGGGACAGGGATTTTTGAGATCATCTGAAAGGAGAGTGAAGGTTTATTATGTACATTATATTGGTTAATTGTCTTGGGATGTCTGAGCTCACTGAGAAGCTGGCCCTAGAAGTGGGGCTGTCCACTCCGGTTTCAGACCCAAGGGTGTTTGTCTCCACATCCTCCAAGGCCCTTTGTTTAGGGATGGGCTGCCTCCCAGACTCTGTGACAGGGAGGGAAGAGGACAACAAACAGCCAAACAATAAAAGCATTGTGCCCTTGAAAACAGCTAAAAGGAAAATGAATTGTTGGAAAATGCAGCAGAAGGTACCATTGTGTATCCCATAATACAAAGCTACCTAGAATGGGAAGAGAGCTGGAAGTTCAGACGTGGGGTGCAAAGCTGGTGGAGAGAAAATGGAGAACTCCACTTGGCTGCCTTGATTTCCCCAGTCAGTTCCTGCTGGATCTTGTGAACACCCAATCTGAAGATGCTACTTCTATTATTTGGTTGTTTGGGGTTTTTTGTTTGTTTATTTGTTTTTCTTTTGGGTTTTTTTTCTTTTTGAGGTTGTATTTTAATTGCAACATTTCTCCCATCTCTTCTCCCTCCAAACCCTCCCATACACCCCTCCACATCTCCTCCAAATTCATGGCCCTTTTTTTTTTTTCATCAACTGTTACTGCATGCATGTATGTTTTTGTGTACGCATATAAAATAACCTGTTGAGTCCATACAATGTTACTAGTATGTATGATTTTTAGGGCTAATCATTGGGCACTGAACAGCCAATGGGAGTGCTCTTTCCTGGGAGTGACCACCTCTCCCAGCTTTACTGCCTCTAGCTAACTCTTTGTGTAGGATTGTTCTTCTACTTAGATGCTTCACCAGAGGGGACACCCTGCTGTTAAGAGTAAGGTTTCTCCTGCTGGCCAGTCTGGTCCCACCGCCATGCCAGCCCCAAATAACACACACAGAGACTCTGTATTTGATATAATGCTGTTGGCCAGTTACTAGTTTCTCATCGGCTGGCTCTGTCTTAATTATTAATCCATTTCTATTAATCTAAGTATTTCCACGTGGTCTTATCTTACCGGAGAGAGGAACTGGCGTTCTTCTCTTTATCTTCCATCTTGGATCTCCTTCATACTACTTCCTCTCTCCTCCTTGTATCCTAGTCCCGCCTATCTTGGTTTCCTATTGGCCAACAGTGATTTATTCATTAACCAATAAAAGAAACATATTTACAGAATGACATCTCCCATCACCCTGCTCTGCCCAGGAATCTCTCTGTGGGAAATCCCATCAGACTGCCTCTTCCCAACCATTTCCTGGTGGATGTTTGTAAGCCCGAATTTGATGATATTCATCTCTGTCAACCTATCACTTTCTATGTATTCTTTCACTTTGGCTTTCTGTACCTTTAACAAATTCACTCATTCAAAACTGAACATATGTCCAAAGTACCCAAAACTTAAATTTACTCACATGAGTGTGCTTGTGTATTGGAAGAATTGCGTACCAGGTAGCACAAGCCCTGCCAAAAGTCTGTGCCTGGGGTGGTCATAGGCCCTAATAGGAAACCTACTAGTGATGTTTTGCTAACTAGACATGCTGTCAATCTGTTTAGCAATTGCTTATGTTTACTACATGGATCTGCCCCAGGTCCTCTGAATTTATATTATAGCTTTCAGCTTCATATTTTTATGGGACTTCTATGTGAGCTAATGCGTCTGATTCTTGTGTCTGCTCTTGTGGCTCTTTTCCTTCTGTTGGCTTGCCTTGTCCAGCCTCAGTGGGATGGTTTTTGCTTCATCTTATTACATTTTATTTTTCATTTTGGTTGTTGTCTCTTAGAAACCTGTTGTTTCTAATGAGACAGAAAGGAGTGGATCCAGAGGGAAGGGGAGGTAGAGAGAGAGACTGGGAAGAGTTCAGGGAATGGAAACTATAATCAGGATATACTGTATGAGAAAAGAATTTTCTATTTTCTTTGTTTGTTTGGTTGCTTGGTTGGTTTTATTTTTGGCTTTTGGGTTTAGTTTGGTTTGGTTTCTCTGTGTATCCTTGGCTGTTCTGGAATGGGCACTGTAAACCAGGCTGGCTTCAAACTCTTGAGCCCTGGGATTAAAGGTGTGACCACTCCTGCCTGACAAGAATCTTCTTCAATAAAAGGAAAGCATACTTGTTTATGGGGCTGGAGAGATAGCTCAGAGGTTAAGAGCTCTGGCTCAGAGGTCCTGAATTCAATTCCCAGCACCCACATGATGGCTCACAACCATTCTAATGAGATCTGGTGCCCTCTTCTGACCTGCAGGGATACATGTAGGAGAAGCAATGTATGCATAATAAATAAATAAATCATGTTTTTAAAAAATACTTATTTATGTTTATGCCCACCAAGTAGTGCTACCCTGGGTCAGAGAAGTTTCTTTTTGCTGTGAAAGATAGTTACACAGAGATGCATGACTATTCAAAGTGCAGAGAGAAGAGTGAGTGCTCAGCCCTAAGCAGGGTTTTTATACTGTCTCCTCCAGACCCCAGGGGCTCCTCAGAAGAGGGAAAGGAAGATCGTAGGAGTCAGGGGATGGAGAGGAACGCTGTGAAATGATGTCTTCTAGACATGATAGAGCAGTCATGAACTCATGGTTACCTGCACAAGGTTTACAGAGAGAGAGAGAGAGAGAGAGAGAGACAGAGAGAGAGAGAGAGAGAGAGAGAGAGCCAAATGGACTAATTAGGAAGAAGGTAGAGAACATAAGTGGGAGATGGGGAGGCATAGGTGAATACAACCACAACTCTGTATGCAAATATGAGATGATCTGTTTAAGGGACCCTGAAGACAAGGCTCAGAATTGGTTAAGAGCACTGGTTGCTCTTGCAGCAGACCCAGGTTCAGTTCCCAGTATCCAAATGGCATCTCACAGCCATCTATATAACTCCAGTTCCAAGGGATCCAGTGCTCTTTTCAGACCTCTCCAGACACCAGACATGTGTGTAGTGTACATACAAAATGCAGACAAAACACTCACACATAAAATAGATAAATCTAAAAAAAAAAAGATTTTGTGTGTGTGTGTGTGTGTGTGTGTGTGTGTCCATGAGTATCTGTGTGTGCTTGTGCATGCATGTATTCAAGTGTGTGTGTGTGTGTGTGTGAGAGAGAGAGAGAGAGAGAGAGAGAGAGAGAAGAGAGAGAGATTTGCTTATGTCATCAGGTAGCCCTCACCCCAGAATTCATGGTGATTCCTCAATATCTTCTTGGCTGGGAGAAACAGCCAAGTGACTCTTATAGCACCATGGGAATCTACTCCATGTCCTCTGAGCAACTCAGAAATCCCCAGGGAGAGCTTAGACACCCGCTCCACACCCATTGCTTCCTGTATTACTACACCCAGGATCCCCTCCATAGACACAGCTAAGAAAAGGGAAGAGCAAAACTGTGCATGCAGAGAGGCTTAATCCTGAACTACTTTTGTAGGAAAGAGAGTAAACATATCTGGGGTTATGCCATTAAAATGCCTAGTTGGTTATTATACAACTAATAACCAACCTACCCGTACAAACTACGAATATTAGGGAGGTTTGTATGTGTATGTCCATGGATGCATAAATACATGTGTGTGCACACGTATGTATTTACATGTAGAGGTCAGAGGTCAACATCAGCTGTCATTCCTCAGGAGTTATCAACCTTGTTGTTTGAGACAGGCTCTCTTACTGACCTGTATCTCACCACATAGGCTAGCCTGGCTGGCCAACAAGCTCTAAGGATCCTTATACTGGAATTACAAACATGTTCCACCATTCCCAAGTATGTTTTAATATTGATTTATTTTAGCTGGGTGGCACACACCTTTAATCCCAGCACTCAGGAGGCAGAGGCAGGTGGAGCTAGTTCCAAGACAGCCAGGATTATACAGAGAAATCCTGTCTTGAAAAAAAACAAAAACAAAAACTTAAATTTAAAAACAAATTAAAGATTTATTTTATTTTTTAATTGAAAACAATTTTCATACAATATATCCTGATCACACATTTTTCCATGACTCCTCCAAGATCCTCCCCACCTCCCCAGCCACAAAACTCCATGTCATTTCTCTTTAAAAAATAAACAAAAACAAAAATTAGAAACAAACAATAATAATAATAAATCAAAATACACAAGCAAAAGACCAAGAGGATAAAAAATGTCCAAACAAAGCAATATGAGACAAAGTCTACAAAAATACCATTGAGTTTATTTTATGTTGGCCAACTACTGCATATGGGGCCTGCCCTGAACTGTGGTTCATATGCTCTGCGAGATTTATTGAAGAAAACTTAGTTTGTCCTTTGCCGGTGAGTATAAGTTGCAGATAGCTTCTTAGTTATGGGTGGGAGCCCTTGTTCACTTCCCCCTCTCAGGGCTGGGACCCCATCTGGCTTGAACCTATACAGACTCCACATCTAGGACTTTTGTTCTGGTTTGGTTTGGGTTTGGGTTTTGGTTTTCTTGTTTTGGTTTTCTTGTTTTGGTTTTTGGTGGGGGTGGGGGTTTGTTTGTTTTACTTGACTTCTGGAGCTCAAACCCTGGGACTCACACTTGGAAGGCAAACATTCCACTGATTGAGCCACCTCCCAGGCCCTTTTGGCTGTTTGCTTGTTTGTCCTCATGTAGTTCAGGTTGGCTTCACACTCACAGTCTAGCCAAAGAAAGGGTCCTCCTGCTTCCACCTCCCAAGTACTGGGATTACAGGCCCGTGCCACCACACCCAGATCACTGGTATTTTTGAATCACAAATATTTTCCTAAATCTAGTAAAACAACATTGTGACATACAAGCAAAATAAATAAATGTATATAGTCAATTTCTAGTGCAAATTGATCTGGTCATTTGATAAACACTTGAAAAATATCTACCATCATTAGCTTTAATTATGTCCATCTTTACTGAGCCAGCCATTCAGAAAAAGATGCCCTGAGAAATGATGTGATTGTACTACATCTCTCTATGTTCTCTCTATGTATACATGTGTGAATGAGCACCTAATATGTGAGCCTAGCATTGGCACTACATGGCGTTTTTAACTTCTGTCATTCACTCTTTTCTTTGAATGCCCACAGACCGAGAAAGGCACATTGTAGTAGTC